TTTTTTTTTTTTTTTTTTTTTTCCAAAGGAGTGCATCTGAGAGCGTGGACAAGTCCTCAACAAGGAAAAAAGGGTCTGACAGAATCGCAATGCCGAGGAGAAGATATAAGAATCGTGGGAAATAAGGGGCGAGAGGCGAGGAGGCAGTTACACCCTTCCGGGAAAGGAGGCAATCACATCCACCATCTCGAGGTCCCTTGGCCATAAAAAAGGAAAGGGTCGGCGAGCACTGAGCACCTGTTGTGACGCTGGACCCGGTTTCCAGCAAAAAAAACGGGAGGGAAAATACAAAAGGTTCAAAAGAGACAAACACTCACGTCTGTGCTGCATCATAATCCTTGGCCTTCAGTGCAATGAGATCTTGCCGAAATCTGCAGTCGCTTGGCAGGGGATTGTCCACAGGTTCAGGTTTCACTGCCACTGCTGTTTTGATGTCCCATAATCTGTATTAGGGACAAACAACACGAGACACTTCGCCGTCACTATCACCTCATATATTGCCACATATCGATCAACTAAAAGAGTGCAATCTGCAAAACAAATGACAAAAAGTTAAGAACACACATGGAGAGCACAGTCTTCAATATATCTGACAGCATTTACGGACGGACATTTGCCTATCTGACCGCAATTACATCTATAAATAATTAATAAAAGAGTCCTACTGTGAGTATCCCCTGAGACACGAATCCTGAAACTGCACATACCCAGTATCTCGAGAAACTGCAGAAATTCATAAACATGCTAAATATGAAACAAAGAACTTGAGATCACCGGTACCTCTGTGCTGAGCAAACGGCACACACACACGTTTGAAAACCACCCGCCCATCAAAGCCTCGTTTTGTGGATATCTGCCCCGCCCCAAAGTGGGATAATGCTCCCAGTACACTCTGTTGTGTTGCTTCGTATAAGGGGGACGCTGGACCTGATTTCCGGCACGTGTAGCTCCCCTCCCCACGAACGGAACGGAACCATCCACGAGAAGGTCTCAACCCCGTTGGTTCTTTCACCACCACGGGACTGCTGAGCTTCCCTGGATGTTTCATTATTAAAAAAAAAAAAAAAGGGCCCAGGCCTGAGGTGTAATATTGCCAGGTGTCATCAGCCTTTTCCGTCCACAAGGCCCGATCCACAATCTCGACCAGGTGAAGCCTCGGCATACGGACAAGATAGCTGGGAAACGTTCGGGCGGTATAAGTAAAATGTAACAAACAAAAATAAATAAATAAATAAATAAAATGTAACAAAAGGACGATGAAACCGGAAAACAGCAAAAGTGAAACCGAGGACCTGGAACATTTGTTTGTTCTGTGCTAATTAGTAATTACAACAGCTTTTTTTTAAGGCTAATTCTTTAAGCCCAACCAATTCAACTTTCATTGTCACTTGCAGAGATTTTCATCCAGAGACATGAAAGATATACGGACTGTGGCAATCAAATAAAACTTGGGAAGTCGGCATTTAGGAAGAAGCAACACACCTTTTGCCATCACAGTCAAGGTGTGTCAACCATACACCCTCAATTGTTCCAAGCTTTGTCACTTCCGCGCTTTGCGTTCCTCCGTTCAACGGTGACCTCCTGATAATGTCCCCTCGAAGAAGATCGGGGAGTCGCCTTTGCTTGAACATCTTTGTGAAGAAACTGCATTTCTCCATATCCGGATCAAAACTCAACGAGCAACTGCAGGCAGAAGAAAGAGATGGAGACGGAAATGGAAATGGAAATGGATGGCAAGCTTTTCATTGTTTAATACCATCACAATCTACCGTACCCATGCAAACCAGCCCCAACATCATTCCAACACTCTCACAGGATGACGGACAACACGATCTTCTTTGTGGTTTTCTCCTCCCTTACACCAGGATCTGCCTCATGGCTTTCTCGTCTCTTATCCAAGAACTCCATGGTGTTTCGTCAGATATGCATCATACCTTAAAATCTAAGACTAGATGCTTGCTAATGCCAGAGATATCTCAACATTAAACACAACAAGTGAAAAAACTCAAACCCACAAAAAGTTTCTTCGCTTTATTTACTCAGCCGTGCATCACACCATAAAACCTAGAAACTAATTCAACTTATGTCAGAGATATACCAACATTAGCCACAAAAAACTGAAACTCACAAAAAATATTATGCTCATTGCTCATCCTAATAGGCATTCTTCTTTTTTTTTTGCGTTTTTTTTTTTTTTTTTTTGGCATTCTACTTCTTCCTGCTTTGTTTTTCCTGGTCTTCCTCGTGTTCTTCCTGGTCTTCCTCCTCGTGCTCTTCCTGGTCTTCCTCCTCCTCTTCCATCTTCTTCTCTCCTTCCTTCTCTTCGATCTAGTTCTCCCCCTCCTCCCCTTCCGTCGCCATGATTGTCATCATTGTCTTCTTTTCACAGTGACCAGACATCGTCTTTTTGCCACCCTCCATCGTTGTCGACATCATTATCATACTCCTCCCATGGTCCACGGACGCACTCAAACTTCACCGTAGATGACCCATCAAGTTTACGAGAGGTTCTGTTGCAAGGGTCTTACTTATATTTCATTCACTAACCACCAAGTGCTTCGGAACACATTTTCCCACCCCAAAAAAACGGGGAACTCCACCATACGATCCACTTGCAGGCTCAACATGCTTTACAGACACAAAGTAGTTATGGAGTACATACCTCAGATTGTTTTTCTCGTCCACAAATCTCATGACGCCAGTGTACAATAGCACACGTTCGCCCCAGAGGATTCCCCTGAGGAGAATCCCAGGCAGCTCCCACGCTACCTCCGCCGCGTCGGAGGCAAACCTCACCCTGTTCCACCCCCCTTGTTGCCCCCTGACACTGTTGCCTCTGGCAGCCGCGCTCCACGACCCCTCCCCTGTGAAGGCATAAAGACCCTCGTTGTCGAGCACCTCCCTGTGCAAACAAACGGTTAAAAGAGAAAAAGGATAGATGGAAGTCAGCATGTGCGTGGTGGCTGACTAGGATAGGCTAGGTCATACCCTATGGTAGGGTAGGGTAGGGTAGGGTATACCCCAGCATAGTGGATAACCTAAGGTAGGGTGGGTACAGTATACCCCAGACTAAGGGATAATGTAACATATCAGAAAGTGAAATGCACTGAAAGCCTAGGATCTAGCAATGACGAAAGTGGCAACAACCAGCAGCATAGGTGCAACATTCACAAGGTGTCAATGTGCGCGACGCAAAGAGTGAAACAACGGGAAATCAATAACAACACATTCGTATCATCATCATCATAGGCTGGGAAGCAGCGCAGCGGAAGTTGTCAATGTGCGCGACGCAAAGAGTGAAACAACGGGAAATCAATAACAACACATTCGTATCATCATCATCATAGGCTGGGAAGCAACGCAGCGGAAGATCTAGTATCAACGGACACGTGGACAACAACATGAAAGGGAGAAACTTCGGAAGGGCAAGACACCAGAAAGATTGCCCTTCCGCTCACACACATGGGGAGAGATCCATAGACATGCGAGAGAGAAGGGGGAGGGACATAGAGGTAGCCAAGTCCRACCCAAKTCTGATCTCCGAATGTCGCACACAGTTCAATCCCAATGTAGAGTGTAAGTCCGATCTGAATGTCGTGTCCAATAAGGCAGAAGGCCGTGTCCAAACAATGTCCGCAGTTACCTCTATCTCTACTCTGATAAAGAAGAAGAAGAAGAAGAAGAAGAAGAAGAAGAAGAAGAAGAAGAAGAAGAAGAA